AGTTGACACGTAACCACCAAATCATAAAATGCGAGTTGGCACCTGCTGGAACCAAACCCACGACCTTGAGCTTACGCGATAATGCTCTAACCACGGGTTCAGGGTGACAACTCACCTTTTCGGTCGATAATTTACAACTTTTGTTAGAGTTCCCCAAGGGCAACTTCTCTCGCCCCTTTTACTTGCAATTTATATGCTATTGTCGTCAAAATCCACAAACATAAATCGCCTTCTATGCGGTTATACAACCGTTTACTCATTCGTGGAAGTTCTCCGCCTTGCTATGCCAGCGTCTACAGTGTTATCTTAATGCCCTTGCTGGCTAGGGCCGTAACTGGAAAGTTTCTATAAATGTGATAACGAGCAATGCTTATAATTTCCATGAAAACCGTTTTCTCGTTGGGGGCCTTTACATTTGATAGCGTGAAGATTCCGTGCTGTTCTCAAGCAAAATAACTGGGAGTCATCATTGACAAGAAATTTCCTGGCAGCCACACCTGGCTATGTAGCGGCGAAGTCTAAGGCAACAAGAAGGCGCTTTACCCTTTACTATGCAGCAAGAGCAAACTTTCCTTGCGCATTTAATGGCAATTCTATATTTCTTACATCCAGCCAATAATGACATTAACGACTGTTGCTTAGACCTTATTAGCTCTAAATTCTAGCTCTTTCCCTGCTCAATATCTTAAAGTTAAATTGTAGCGGCTACAGCTAGGACGTTATAAAATGAAGGGAAATATTAATTTAATTGCGTTGTTTCACACTCCCATCCGAAAACGGATTTAGGCCTATGAAATTAGCTACAAATATATATGAACTAACTAAAGGCGACTACCCAGGAGTATAAATATCCTAATTGTTTGCTGAAAAAGTTTATTAAAGCTTTTGTTTGGCCATCGGTATTATTTGGTGGTGGCATTAACTTTAATGAAGCAATTGATAAACCAACATTCATTAAATTCGTTTCATAAAAGTAATCCTTTGAATGAACTTAGCTCCTTTTTTACTACATACTGACTGAGGAAAAATAAATTTATTTCATCGTCCCGTAGACCTATTGGGAGAGTAAAAAATTTAAACTGTGACGCTTATAACAGCCAAGTGTTAAGTCATGGTATGAATGCGTAATTTTATAAGAGTAGATTCCAACATATACCGCAGAAATATGACACCATCGGACCAAAAGAATTTTTCTTCGCTCCAAGTTGCTGAAACCAATTTTTATCTTTTGTTAATATTTAAAAAGGATCCAGTTCAGTGTCACGATTATTATTATACCATACACGACGGCTGCATTCCTACCCCACCAATTTCTAACGCCTAACTATTTATTGTTTCGCACACGTTTATAGATATTTTATTAAAGAATTTCCCGGTAATATTGTGTGACCACTTTTTCCCTGTTTCGGTTTCAGAAGCTAATTTCGATTTCTAAATAATTAATTTCAGGGCTTGTTCTAAGGTATATAGCCCATTATACAAGCTCGGCTAATTGTTAACCGCCATTTTTTTCATCACAAAAACGATTTTTTGGAGGATTATTATACGAGAAAAAGAGGAGGAGCGATCATATCTAAAACGAATTTAAAAATGTGGGACAGGAAACAGCACGTGAGATGACACGTGACAATTTTTTTGTAAACTTTTTCGTCTCATTTTTTAAATATATTAAATTTGATTTTAACTAACACAAAAATAAAAATATGTATTTAATAAAAAAAAAAACTAAGCGATAATACCGTTTTTAAATTTGAAAATATAATTTGTTGTGTACTCACGGGAGCCCTTCTAAATAATGTACATGCAATGTTTGCTCCAGAAGATTTCGAAACGATAACTGTTCATGTAGAGAGAATTGATTTTTTATAAGTTTTGTTTTGGAGAAGGGTGAGAGCGTTTTCATCCTGAAGCTGAGGGAAAATTTTTTAACTATTTTATAAAGAGTTTTACCTCGTTACCCTCGCGGGCGCAAAGTAAATTACTTATTTTTTGTAAAAATATATATATCCCTTATGTGGCTGAGAAGCTGGTCGTTACAAACTTTATTCGCTATTGCTTTGGTTTAATTTTTTTTTAACTCTTCGCGTTTACTGAATGACTCATTAATTATAGCTTTTTTAGTGTTTATATCGTTACTTCCTACAATAACATAAGGTTAATGACGATTAAGGGTGATAAAATGAATTGCAACTTGGTTTTTTTTAAAAATTTTAAGACAATTATTTAAAAAGGGACTAGGGATGTAGGGTTATCCTCTATGGTACTTATCACGTAAAAAAAATTTTTTTATTCACTTAACCACCAAACTTGTTCTTACCTGTTGATCCAGTATCAGGTTAATAAAGACATCATATCGGTGTCGAGAGTTGTCATCGTAGCTCACCAGTTAAGAGCATTGACGCTCATAATCAAGGTCATGGGCTCGATTCCCACCGACTAGACTCTCTTTTTCGGTCTTTGTTGTGTAATTAATTTAGCCCTCATAAATTCTAATAAACAATATCTTTATTTAAAGGAAAGAAATAAAAGGGGCTTCTGAAGGCCTTAAGAAGACGGTATCAACTATAAAAGAAAGAGATTGTAAATTTTAAGTTGTCTGCTAGTAGAGGGAACCCTACAATGTTAGGAACAAATAAGTTAGGCTGCCAACTGGTTGCTATATAATAATTTTTGTTTGAAGAAGACCCACGGAACTGTGAGCTGCACCGACAATAACTGAATCTGCGACATTTATCATGCTTTAGCTACGTTTACAAACACAGTTCCGGATGATGAGGGACGAGGACATTGCGTATAAATTTTCTGTTAGAGGGGCTCTGTGTTTGGACAGCCTTTGGACTTTAGGAGACGCTTAGTACAAGAATTAATAGCATTTCTGGGACATTTTTTTATCTCATTCAGCTAGTTGGTCAAACAATTATGAACTCCTAAGTTAAGCCCTACAGCACTAGCCCCCCCACCCCCCACCCCAACCGCTAGGTAGAGGTCACATATCTGGTTATGTGTCACGAATTAGGGTTGTGATAGGGGAATAATTTGTTTCAGAAATTATATTTGAGACTTCTGTTACCTACTTCATTTTTATATATCCTAGCTTCAGATTTATATAAGCCAGAAATACTTAAATATTTATGTTTAATAAAAAGTAGTTATTAATTACAATCGCTATAAGGGATTACAATAATAATTCGGCCATAGTTATCGCATTAAAGCGAATATTTTGATTAAATAAGTTTACTGAAACTTGAAATTTTTATTTGTCTGTGCAAAGAAGCCCACGTTTTAAGGGTTACATGCTTCTATTTAAATTTTAAGATCAAAGGTCTTGCAAAATGGAACTATTTTTCTACCCCCCTCATATCTTTAGTAAGGCTTTATTGGGAAGTTTAGCATACTAATAAGTTGCACAGGCCTCATACAATATCGTTAAAAATTTCGCCGAGTTCATATACCCCTATGTTTTTAGTCAGCAAGAGGAAGAACTTTTTCTGCCTCGTCTTCTAGTAATTTCATGGCTAATTTACTAAATTAAAATTAGTAAAATGAACGGAATAAAATAGCTGGGTGTAGTAATATATGTATATTAATTTTTTATTCTGATGCTCTCTTCAAGCTTTCTTTATTTATTTAGCGGGCATTTCCATTCATGCATGCCCAGTAACAGTTCTTAACTCGCTGAAATCTGTTAATTAAAAAAAACTCGTTTGAGCTCCTAATTATTATCAACTTGTTTAAGTGTAGCTCGTTCACTTCCTATTCTGCTCAGTAAGTTTTATATTAATTACCCGTTTTAATAACTCATATAACTGTTAACTAAAAAAAGCAACAATAACAAAATAAAATAATTTTATTATTAGGTCTACTTTAAACTTAAGAACAAGAGAAACCCTTGAACCATTTTTTTTTATTAAAAGTTACTGTAAACGACGAATTTTTATTGGGAAAATTATTAAAACTTTATAAGAACGCTCCTTGTGAGGTCCCAAACTTGCAAGGAAAAATAGGGTAACACTTCAGTGACTTTATAGTGTTGAAGCTAATATAAATATAGCCATTAGTAAATAAAAAATTTTTTATTTATGTTTATCCAGGTGTATTATCTATTTTTTTAATTTTGACTTTAGATACTTTCTTTTTATAGAATCATTTTATTACATTCAAATTCTTCCTACTTATTTTAGACAGTTTTCCATTATAGTTTTTATTTGTAACAAATCAATTCTAGTGGCTACCTGTAGCCGTTAAAGAAGTAACACCACGAATAGGAAATATTTTTCGTTTATCGTTTTTTTTTAACCACAACAGAAAGTCATAATATACCATGTTAAAGTGGAGGGAAGGGTAAAATGAAACACAAATTAGAAAAAGAAGAAAAAAGCCACAATCGTTGGCTCTCACTTATTTTCAGATATTTTACACATTTTAAAAAGAAGGATAAGTCAGAAAACGTTTTTTACCGAACAAATGAGGCTAAAACTTTAAGAATTCAAACGAAGTCAAGAAAAACTGAGCTGGAAGATTATGACTTTTGCACTATTGATGTTGATACTACGTTAAAACCTGCATGCTCATTTAGCTCTATAGTTTACGAGGAGAGTTCCAAAAAAAAAAGGTTATTAGATTCTTGGAAAAAAAACGACGACTCCCAGCTAATAAAAAATACATTATTAGAAATTATTCCTTCAAAAACTAAATGCATTGAAGCATCTAACACACTGAAAGACGTAAAAAACCCCCATAAAAGTGCTAGAAATAGTATATTTAGCACCATTAGCAGCCAAGAAAATTCTTACAATTTCTACAAGGAAATTAACAAAACGTTTAGATTAAAAAATACTTTAAATATTTCACAAACAGCTAAAGTTCAATTGGTTGTTCACAAAGAATCGCAAGAACTTTATGTCTTAAAACGTTTATTTTCAAGAAATTTTAATACGGAACTGGCTATATTCAAGGAAATTAAGTTCATGCAAGTATTAAAACATAAAAATGTTATAGAAATGCTTAAACTCGGGGTCTGCGATAATATTTTGCCCAGTAACCAGATTTTAAGGGAATATGTGATCCTTCAAGAGTACCTGGGTGGCGGTGACCTATACGAATCTATAAACCCAGAAAAAGGTTTAACCAATATGGTTAATGCAAAGAACTATATGTTGCAATTGTGCGACGGTTTAAGTTACTTGCACGATCTTAATATTGTTCATCGTGATATCAAACCTGAAAACATTGCTTTAACTAGCGATCTTTCATGTCTTAAAATCATTGACTTCGGTTTATCCGAATTTACAGTCCCCAAGAGATCACACAAAAGACAGGTGGGTACAGTGCCTTACATGGCCCCAGAGTTATGGTACGATCTCGAATCGGAGTTTACTGATACCGATTTAAAAGCAGTAGACGTATGGGCATTCGGTGTGGTTTTTTTTACAATATTGACTGGAAGATTCCCTTGGTCGCAGGCTAGTAGCGAAAGTGAGGAGTACGTAAGGTATACAAAAGGAAGTTTGCTTGACGATAAACCTTGGATTTGGCTATCTCCTCCCAAAAAATTTATATTACAAGCTATTTTTACAGAGATAGAAAAACGTCCAAATATTAAGGAAATAAAAAAAATAATTATTTTAAATTGGGTAGAGTAAATATTGAGAGGCATAAAAGCTCATTTTTAACGTAGCGATACCAAGCTATCTTTTAAGGCAACCTTTATTCTTCTTTATTTCTTGTCTTGAGAGGCGTTATAAGTTTGTTAATAATTTAATTTTGTAGTCTAAAGCTGCAATAAACTTTACCTTGCATATTATGTAAAAAATAAAATAAAAACAAAGTCAATATTTTTATTGTGCTTTATGATTAGCTGCAGTTTATATTAAACAAGGATAGTACTTCTTTGCTCCATTCACAAAGTGCTCTTTGCAAAGGTATATAAAAAAAGAAGACTAAATTATTTATTCTAGTCCGGAGCTGAGAGTTTTTCCGGTCTGAACCTTTTACCATGATCTAGATTACGCCTAAATATTTTAACTTAGCGACCAAATGCATTAGGAAGAAAGCTAATTTTTTTGTTTACCTGCTCTGCTTTCTGGGGGACCTGTTGAGTTCTAAAGGAGGGACTCCAAATTAGGGTGTATACTACTAATTTTTAAGAATTTATGTACACTTAATTCTCTCTTGGGTACACTATTTTCTTCTATTGTAAAGCCACATCTGTTGTAGTAACTTTAGGAGTAATCAATCCTGGAACAAACAGCTCCTCGTTAAATACATACTTGACACACTTTGGAAGTAACTCCGTAAATTAGAAAAAATAAATAAATAATTTTTTATTAATAAACCAAATTCCATTAAAAATACGTCTTTATTTTAAAAAGTATTTAAAAACAGTAGCGATTAATTCCATTTTTAACACCTGTGATGGAGTGTCTAAAGTAAAACCATCTTAAAAAATTAAAAAGTGCGTTTTATAATAGCTAATAGCAGATAATAAGTTAAGCATTTTTTAAGATTTCAAAGGTTTAAATATTTTTGCTGTGCTAGCTATATGCGTTTTAGCTAAATTGACACTGACGGTAAGCGCGTTTAATTAGAATTTAGAATTGAAAATTGCGAGTACATACCATGTGAAAACCAATAACATTATTTACAAACATTATATACGCGTTCGCGCAAGCACCGTATAAAACCATGTGAAATAACGTACTTGCTTGAGAGATTAAAATCTTTTGGATGTAGGGTAAGGTATTTTTGTAAAGAGTATTACTCCTACCTTCTTTTATTCTATATAATTAGGGCGCTATAGTTAAATCGTAAGAACTAATCGAAATGGAGTTTTAAAACATCGCTTGTATAACGCACCATTAACTCACTTTTGTTATTACGATATAGGCGGGTAAGGCAGTTCAATAAATCTGCTTAGGCTATACCTCTTTCCTTCCACATTAAATGGGCGCTATACTATATTTACTAATATTACCCGTTCTGAGGGCAAGAATTAACGTTTAAGAGATTTGGTAAATTAGTAAGTACAAAGCTGCTTAGTGATTATATATAAAATAAAATATATTTTATACTGCGTCTTTTATATTCCACGAAAGTTAAAAAAATTTATTTTTACAACTGCTTTAGAAGTTGAGTATATATTAAAATAAAAGCAACCCATTAAAAACAATTTTGATAGATAGAACAAAACTTGCTTATTGCAACAAACAGAGCTCACACTGGATGTTACCATACAAAAATTTTTGTCAAGTTTTTGTGTATACAAATGTCCTAAAACTATGCTCGCTTAAAATTCTGATTTCCTTTGTAATAATTAAACCTATAACTCCAAGTTTCCTCTACTTGTAAAGTTCTTTAGACCACTATTGTAGCTATTTCTTTGGTCATTGTCCCTAAGCTTTAACATTAACGCCATAAATATATATATATATATATTTTTTTTTTGAAATTATTTCATCCCTATTTCAAGTACTTTTAATCCCCACGTTTCGCCTAATTTGCAAATTGGTAAATTAATTTTCTAGGTTTACTCTATCAAGATAAGGTTTTTGTTTTCTGATGGTATATCATTTAACTTAAGACTAAAAAGGGCTATTGCAACGTGTTGATTGTGGCAAACAGGTTACACAAATTTTATGGTTAAAGAAACTGATGGAAATAACTTCTTGCAAAGTATTAAATACTTTGGAGTTTAAACCGTTATCTGTAAAATGTAGAAGTCAATAGAAATATTTTCTAACTAATAATTAGTTTTTCGTAAGTTTTGACATGAAAGTTTCTACAGCAAACAGAATATTTAATGCACTTAGTTATTTCCAATTGGCGCTAAATTAATGGAATTAGAGTTATGTCAAAAATTATTAGAAAGGCTCCAGCAAAAAGATAAATAGAAACAGAATAAAACTAGCGCTATAGAGATGTTTATTACTTTTATGCTTTTCGAAAGTTATAAAATCCCAAATTAATATTTTAGTGGGAATAATCCTGAACATTTTTAATTTTCCCGGATAATTCATTAATTTTAGATATAAAAGCGATGCAAACTTAAAACAAAGTCAACCAAGCAATATAGGTTGTATATAATTAAATCTATGGGGGAGAGGGATAAATGGGCTACCCATAATAGAATGAATATCGAAGTTGGGTTGGGTGGGGCTTAAACTTACATGAAGCTTAAGTTTGCGCATCTTCATTTACATACCTTTACAAAAGGTTAAACAGCATTCCCACTAATGTAGGTTGGTTTTGATTAAATTTAAAATTCTTTACATAAACATGTTTACTTCGTATCCGCTTAATAGGTATGTTAAGATCAATAATTATCTTATGTATATAATAATATTTAGTTGACATAGCTTCTAAAATATTAAAAATTGTGTTTTCTTTAAAAAATTAGTTACGACTTTTTTACGTGGTTTATCTTTAAATCATTATTTCTGTGTAGTTTCACTTTTGTTTAAGTGTATGTGTATTAGCGTTGGTGTAATTTTTTTTGCTAAATGGGCCGCGAATCCGTTGCCTATCCTGCTTGTTGAAGGCTCTTTCTCAAACTCCAAGAGTTGGAGCAGATTACTAAGATAGTTCATAAGGCACTCACACCGCTCCCACCGCTGCTAAAAACTTCCGCTTTACTAAACAATGCTTTAGCCGACCCGTCGTGCGGTGAAAGAAGCTCACCTTCCACGCAATACCTACAGATAATATTACATACCGTCTTATTCGCCCCTAGCGTTGCCACCTCCTCCGAGCGGTTATAGCCTTTCAACGAGTTACGCAACACGCTTACCTCAATGCATAAGGAATAAGATGCTGTTTCACCTAATTAATGATAGAACAAACTGAATGAAGTGTCTAAGGTTGGTGACAACTGTCGCGTCTCTTATAATAAGTCCGCTAGCCGAGTAAGAAATGAGAAGGATACACCACAATCACCACTACTCAACCACGGTATTGTTACCGAAAGCGATAAAGACTAAGTAAAATATTCTGTTGATCATCTTGCAGCCCAGTGTTCGCTGCCTACCTTGCTCTAAAGCTGTCTTTCACAGATGAGATGGTATCGATCGTCAAAGGGCTATCGAGACGAAAGGCTAACTTCTCTCACGGCGCCATAAACTGATGTTAAAACCAATGATAGGGGCGACTATGGACCATCTGTGCCTTTTAGACAACTAGGTGACGGTATTCCTTATTTTTTCTTCAGTCGGTAGTCGTGAGCTTATCAAGGACTCCACAAAATGGCATCTGAGCTTAATAAGTTCCCCCATAAGCTTTTTGTCAACAACGGGCAATATGGCTGAAGTATACATACCTATTTAATGGCGGTTGATAACGACAGTAAAAGTTTACCGAAATTTTTTCATTTTGGATAATAATAAGTATACTTAACGAACTAATAACATCTTCAAAAGTCGAGTGAAAACCCTACCCTTTAATTTCAGAAACCCTCCGGCGCTGTCTTTCTTGACGGTTTTGGGCTGAATTTTGCATGAAAGCCCGTTACGCAAGCTGCCCTCTCGTAACTTTCAGATCTGCACAAGTCCTCAGGGGTCTTCAGCGTGAGGTGGCGCTGCGCTGTCGTCGCCTCGTTCTCCTGCAGCGCGTGTTCTGCTACGCTTTCTTCTACCACCGACTGGTGTCGACATTAAAGTTGCACTGCTAACTCTGCAAAGAGCAAGACACTTTTTGTAACAGAGAAACGCGCTGCGCTGCCGAAGCTTTTGACCTTAAATATCATGATTAATTCGTAGTACTCTCGGGTGAAATGCTTGGTCCTTATATTATAAGCTTCCTGCCGCCCACACTTGATTTACGTGATGGCGGTCAAAAAAGAGACTCTCTAATGTGCGACATGAATAGACTCTTTTGTGGCGCAAAAATGCGAAGGTTGTAATTGTTGAACTTTCAACCTGCCTAGTACCAAGTTGGACTTCTAATAATCGCTCATTTCAGCGCATTTTTGCGCCATAATACACTACACTGTGAACTACAGATAGAACTTTTAAGACAGTTTAGAAGTGATCCTACCGCCCTTTACGAACGTATGACGGGACAGGCTAACCGTGCTAATCATCTTTAGGGAAAGAACTCACGAATTAGACAGTAGGGCACAATACCGCCCTCTGCGGGTAGCATCTTAGCTTAGTTGAATGAATTGTTTCAAATTTTTGACGTGAAAGACCCGTTTTCAGATATTAACTGGTACTCTAGGCAACTTAAAAGGAAAAGTTATTTTTTTCAAAAACCAAATAATTTTTTTATTTCCTGTTTGAGAGCTTGATTATTCGAAGTTGTTAACTTAGTAAATAAGCACCAACTTTTTAACATCCTCTATTCTCCTTCAGTTGCAAATATGATAATTTAATATTTAGCGTCAGCGCTTTTGATACTTTGACAAAGCAGTCTAGTGTAAGAAAATCTAAGAGTTTAGACCAGCATTCCTTATCAAGCTGCACTTCAGCATTTCGTACGCTTTTAACCCTATGGCCGGCAACTTTTGGACTTCTTCACACTGTAATCTTTGGCTGCTTGAACCAAGTGAACTAAGTTACTTGGAGAAGACAACCTTTCAAATCTTAACAAAGAAGGAACAGGAATTTTATAAAATTTTTATAGCCGACAGTTAAACAAATATTTTTATTAATACATTAGATTAGTTTTTAAATTTGCTCTTGTAGCGTTGTTTTTGCTTTTTCTCTTTCTCTCATAATTTTAAGTGACTTTTTCTCTTAATTAGTTGCTTTATTACTGGGAAAACGTCTAAATCTGCGCCAACAGATTATTGCTACTGCCACAGTTTACAGTAGGCGCTTTTACCTTAAGTATTTGAATTTCACAATTTTAGCATTAATTCTTAACGCCTTTTTATTATAATAGAAATAATCTTGATTCTTGCAGCCCTTTACTTTTAGTTCCCACAGCTTTATATTTAGCTTGCAAAATAGAGGAGTATGGAGTACTCTCTCTGCGAAATTTAGTTTCTGTTGTTCAAAATCTTGGTTTTCTTTAATATAACCAAATCATTAATTACAATACTATTAAAGAAAATTAAAGCCAGGACGGAATTTTCCTATCTATACTTAGACTATTGCATTCTTACCACTCAACACATTCTTGACTGTGAATTCTACCTTCTTGAAGAACTTAACTGTCATCTCATTGTTTACCATCCCTACCGACTACTCTGTTTCTATTGCGAAAGTCTTAAAGTGAAAGAAGTGATTGAGATTTCTTGGTTATTTCTTTCTATACCCAATTTTTTTATACTTTTATATTTTCACGTTTATTAATTAAGTTTAAGCTCTGTAGTTGTATGCTCTTTTTGAAAGAAACACCCACCACTTGTAATAGCTTTTAGGCATAAATTGTCAATTTTTTTGTTCACAAGTATAAGTTGTTACAAGAATTTAAAAAGCTGATCAGATTTTTAATAAACTTTAAAGGAAGTACTTAGTTTTTCCAGCTTTGTGTTTTCTAGTTTGTTTATAAAAGTTTGATTTAGGTTTCGATTACTCTGCGGTATAATATATTTATATCAATGTATTAAGACCTCTTTATTATTTTGCTACTCTTCTCTATTTTTAAATAGCCTTATCTCTTTACTAAATTTATACAGTACTTTATCCGTTTGTGAAGTATATCACTTTTTTCTATTAATTCTTTATTAAAACTTATATTATTTTAGTAATTATTTATTACTAGATTTCAATTTTTTTTAATTAATTTTTTTATAAGTTTTATAACTGAACTGCTCTTTTTTTACTTTTAAAATTAGTTAGTACGGGCGTGTAGCGTTAAACTATTTTATACTAACAATCTCAAATTTAAACTTATAACTTATTTAATTATAATAATTGTTTGTTATTTGAGGTACATAGTCAACGATACGTACCGTTCGGACATATTTTTAAATTACCCACCGCACATGATAGCCTTGACGGCAATTTACTTGTCTTGCATTCTTGTGGGCTCCATCGATAAAGAGGAAGTGAGAGAGAGATTTTCAGACCTGTCCATCGAGTTTGAAAAGGTTTTTTTACTAACTACTAACTTATTTTATTTAAACTATCTATTGTTTGGCTGCTGAGGTTTTAATAATTTCAAGGAAGTTACTTGAACTTTATGAGCTTTGGAATTCCTATGACAAAAAGAGAATTAAGGAAGTTATGTGTAAAGTTTTGAGACCGGTTGTAGAAGATATACAAGAAAAACAGTCTTGAAAGCCGTAAATGGCTATTTTGTACATTGTAAATAGAATTAAACTAGTTTATAGGAGCTTTACTGGTAAAAAGTTATAATAACCAGAAGAAGAATTATTGACCTTTTTTTTTTTTCTAAAACCCCTGTATTTAAAAAAATTAATTTTATGTTGATTTCATCGCTCGACTCTCATACTCGAGCTGATAATTATCTCCAAGGCTTGTAGTTTAATTTAAAATACTTTGCTTAAGTACAAAAGAGTGTTAGATAAAAGATGCGGTAAAATTTTACGTCTTTAGTAATATTAAAACTCCTGGATGCCTAGTAAAAAAAAATCAACTTATTTTAATCACACTGATAAAGCTTTAGTGCATACAAAATCTGTTAGCAAGTATTTATATCAAGCATATTATTATTATAATCCAATAGTTAACGACACTGTTTATATTTGCAAAAACTTGCATCCTCATATTGTAAGCTAATAAACAGACTGCTAAGCTTATAGAAAATTTAGTTATTCCCCTTTAAAATAGAAAGTCGCTACTGCAACAACTTTTCCCATTCACTAGCTTTTTCTTAATATAAAATTTGTTTAACAAAATTTGTAATAATATATACTTGCACAAATTATTTAAAAATTATCATAACTTATATGTGCTCTATATAAAAAAAAGCTCGTAGGGACAAGGTCTAAATTAACCAGCTAATTTAGCTGTAGTTATATTTTGTTTACACGTAGCGTGGTTCACTTTAAAAACTTTTACTATAAAGCTAAAACACTAATTTTTTTTTTAGTACTGGCATTATGACTGATCTTCTTAAGACCTTAAGCCGCTCAATCTGAATTCCACTCTTTTGCAGGGGTGGGACACTAGTGCCCACCAGAGTACGTCCTTTAGGAAGCTAAAATAACTGTCCCAAAAGACTGAAAAGCGGGAAATATCGGGCCCGAACTCCCGCCATTCGGCCTAGTGTGGTGGAAAACAGCCAAAAACCGCCACCGGCAAAGGTAGCCTTGGCACAAGATCCGAGGCCACTTGGAGACACCGACTAGTACCACTACCAACCAGGTCCCCCGACAATGAGCTCCTCACCCAGAAGGGAGGGACCCCCGTAAGTGCGTTCAATGTGAGTATAGTACATAACTAACGCATATGATTATTAAATTTTAAAGTTCTAAGTTTTAGAATTAAAACAAATTAAAGTAAGAGAACATAATCTAAGTTGACTCTTTTAAAAGGGAATCAAGCTTAATTAGCTCAACCTTACCCGCTCTTTTTATCGATTTTAGACGTTTCTTAACTCTACAGTAGTTGTACCTTTTATTTAGGCATTAGTAGCCCGCAGTAGGTCTCAGGTCCCTTGAGTTTTAATTTTTTACTTTTATATTAGATAAAAATATCGTAAAATTTTCAGCTCTTGTTGTTTATTGAGATATTAGGATACAGGTCACACTAAATTTTAACTTCTATCCAATTTGAAAATTTAGAAAACTAAAATATTTCCAGATCTGTGAAACCCCCCGCGACTACTGTAGGGTTAAATTGACAGATTTTTTCATATTGTGTTTACCCTCACTCGTAATCTCAATTAAATCTTAGTGGTCAATAGAAGATTTAAAACAAGAAGCTTTATTGAAGGTGGAACAGCGGTTTACACTTTCAGCTTGAGGACCAACCCCAAAAGACTATTTCTTATTAATTATTATTTTTATATTAATGATATTTCCTGGTGCTCGATAAGGTCGTTAAAGGCAAACACCGAATTTACGAGTTCTCAACAGGGTGATTGCTTATACCGTAGCTTTAAGTTTTTGTTAAAGCAATTTCTTATGTATAAACAGGATGTTTTTGACCCTTAAGAGGGGTTTATACACGTTTACAACAATCTTATCTACTTTCTTGTGAGTAACTGCCTTTAACTGGTTTTGGCAGTTTATAACTTGAGACCAATACCCACTCTAACTGCACACAGGAAAAACACCCCAGTCTGGGAAATCGTACTCCGCAACACTAGCATATGGTTAAGCTCTAGATGACCTTGGCCAGCGGTATTAATAATATTGTCGTTTACTATAAAAGGAATAAGAATAAAACCGGCCAATAAATATGTCCAGGGAACGGATTAATCTAAAGCAAACAAAAAAGAACGCGCTATTGAAGAGACGTTCCGTACTCTACATGTAAAGCATTTCTTTGGATAATTTCAGCCTATGGGATTGTCCGAATTTCAATTAAATTTTAGTAAAACGAGAAGTTGTGTGTTTATGCTTGGGTAGCTTTTCCAAATAAAAACACAATAGTTGGTTAAATGTTTGTTAGTCTTTAGAGGAAATATTGCTACTCTCCCTGGAACGAGCGCCCAATCGAGACTAACAAAAGTTGTATACATAAGTTATCCACAGAAGATGTGAGTCGTTCCTTAGCTCAGTGGTTAGAGCATTGGCGCGCGATCTCAAGGTCTCGGGTACGATTCCCGTCGGTGACAACTCACATTATTCTGATCTGCTAATTAAGTGTACAACTTCCCCATAAAAAAAAATTCTGATACATTATAAGCACGAAGCTCTAACCTCAACTGAGATTCTCAAGAACTCTAATATAACTAACTCCACCAAAAATGAAAAGTATGACTACATGGCAAGCACTACTGTTAAAGAAGACTCCTCAAATTAAACATGGTTATCCGACGTAAAACTAGTTCTCACGGAACAGGGAATTCACGACATTTTTTCAAAGATGTCCCCATTTGAGAGGATCCTATAACTAAGGGCAAGCTACTGAAAAAATCAGCTACCGGTATAAGGATAATAATGAATAGCCTCCATAAAAATATCAGATCAAGGATAAAAGCACTTGACATAACGAAAGAGGAATTGTTTATTCAGACGGTAAAGTTCGTGTTTGGAAAGAGATCTTAGCCACGCTTATGACCAAGACAAAAGAATTCTGCAACGCATCTAAAAATAAGAACGAAAGTATTCAAGTATACGCTAACAGACTATGGGTCACCTGGCTATAATGATGCAGGAACAGTGCGCTATCCAAGAGGCGATCCTTCACCTTCCATAATTTACGGATATACTAAAAATGATTGCCCCAATATATAGAACTGGTGAGGTTATACAAATATTACTCAATCTCCCTTGAACAATGTTATAACCGATAAGCAAGAAAAATAGACTAAGTATACGCGCTCAATTCACTATTACACGCTGAAAAATAGACACACTTTGCATGGCAAGCATCTAATCTCTGAACAAGAAAACCCTAGAAATGCATCAGCAAACAACAACGAGAAAAAGCACAGTTAACACTAACTCCTACGGGCGCAAGGGTGGTCATGATCCCCGACATTGCAAACACAAGGCATCACAATGCACATATTGCCTGAAATTAGGGCACATGGAAATAGCATGCAAAGGCTATAGATGCAATGAAGTTCACAATCACCAGTTATGCAAGTACCCAAATTCACAGTGCACCTATTATCGTAAACTGAAGAATCTTGGACGCCTGCAAAAACAAAAGATGGGAGAATAACTATAACCACACACGTGAAAGCATACTTCAAAACAAAAATAAAGAAAACCCTGGACACTGAAAACCTCCAATTCTCCATAGCAAATTAACATCAACATTCGAATTTACATGAGGTCAATCGTTCCCTCTACATGGTAGTCGACACCCCCGCCTACCCATATATCATTAAAGATAAAGAGTTATTAAGTGAAATTAAAAAATGAGTGTAATATAATAAATACAAATAAAAGAAATAATTTGCACAAGAAAGTCGGGAAGATTAATTACATTAGATAATGGAAAGGCGCTCTATGGCAAATCATTTAAACATAATCTCATCTCCTGCGCGAAACTAGACGAAAGCAGATATACGACCACTTTTAATAACCGAACGGTTACAATAATATTAACAAAAGGAGAAACTATTAGAGGACGATAAAAAATGACCTTTACATGATCGAAACACCAAACAATAATACTATCTACTCACTTAAGACAAAATTGAAACATGACGACGTAAAGAATAAGAGTGCGATTCCTCCTGAACACTACATATACGGTCATACAAATTACAGACAGCTGAAACACTTAATATCCAACATCAGACCATTTAATAATAAAGAACGAGAAATATGTGTTTCTACAAAGCTGGAAAAGAAGAAAGTAAACAAACTTAACGAGCCTCACAACCAAAGAGATCCGGATGAACTTCTATACATAGACGACATTACAAAGGGGCCCGACATCCAAATTAGAAGGGTTTGAAGAATCATAACAGATGTCAAATCTAAGAAAGTATTCATCGAATTTTACAAGAACCAAAGAGCAAATTAAGCATCAAATAATCATTTTACTCACTGCACACAACAGATAGATCTTGAACAGACATCTCAACAATAGGTAAAAGTCAGCACTTACTGAAAGAGTTCAGAGTCGATAACGGCATAGAGTTCATTAACAATGAACTACATTGATGCCTTAAACAATTTGGCGTCCTAATTTCCACCGCACCAAAAGACACTCCTCCATACAAGAAGCATCCTCAAACATGGAGGGCTGGGTCTTCAATACTGGGATGAAGCAATGACAAATGCAGTTTTCATAACAAACAGTCTTCCACACAACGGTGAAAATCTAACTCCTACCCAAATATTTGGAATCAAAGAGAGACATTAATTCCTCTAAACCCCTTCGATGCAAGATTTTGATCCATAACCCAGAATACAAAACCAAATCCCAAGACCGCTCCATTACAGGTGTTATGCCCTCCATACCTACCTATAGCACTGCAGGTGAATATGAATCCTAAACTAAAGACAGGAAAGATTATTTAATCAAGGAACATAGCATGCTTTGGACATATATATCCCCTAAAATACAGCAAAGACGATATTATGAAATAACAGGAAACAAAACTAGAAACGCACATAATGGCACTTGCGTTTATCATTTAAATCAGCCTACACCCTTAGTTAATGACCCTATTGTATAACCAGCAACGCAGCATATAAAACATTAAAAAGAAGGAGGCTATGAGACGGAAAACAATCTACGTCTTATTAAAAGCAAATCAGTCGCAGCAGATAACCTTCTTAACCCATGCACAAAAATCAACAGCAAACAACCACAATTGTTAATAGATACCTCATTACTTCATCGCATGCCATCTAAAAGGATAAGAGCGAAACAAGAACTAAATTCACAATCATCCAGAAAGTTTATAATAAAACTAAGGATATACAAATTAGAAGATTTTATAATAACAAGCCCGAAAACGGTTGATAAAGACACAAATCAAGTACACTTAACACATGACACTAAACAACTACAAAAGAAACAACACCAAATAGACTTGCAATATTAACTATGGCCAACAACATAACTACGAAGAGACAACAGTCCCTGAACAAGGAAACACCCAAAATACTGCCATTTATCACAGTTTACAAAACAATAAACGACCTAAGCAAAAGAGCAATTATTAGCCATCGGAGATATAAATCACAACAAAGACTTAGACATACTCTCAAAGAGGGCTAGCGAAGAATTACTCGCCACCGCACGTAACACATAAAATTAGAACATACAAGACCACAACGTGAACCTTCACAAACTTAAAATCAAACACTAGGTATCGAATATGCTAACCAAAATAGAGTTCACGGAGCAAGGAAACGAGTTAGAGTAGAAGAAGCTATCATAGTCGATGAACTCGAGATAATAGAAACTACTTCTCTGTTAACCTACAGTGAAGCCATGAAGGAGCCTGACTAAGAAGACTACAAACAGGCGGTCATTTCTAAACTTAACTCAATTACTAAACACGAAGGATTTAAAATTATCAGGCCGTGTGATCTAGCCGAAGGCGATAACGTACTATCTACTACATGAGAATTACACACAAAATATGACAAAAGATATAAAGGAAGACTTAATTCGAGGGGGTAATATATGCAAGAAAAGAGCGTGAACTATTACGAGACTTATTCTCCTGTTCTCGACAAGAGTACGCTCCAAACCTTAATAACCTTGACCCACCTAAAAAACTTAGGTACACACAGCTGATATTACCATTGCCTTCCTCCACGTCAAACTGGAGAAGCCCATACACATTCTAGTTCCCTAAGGCACGCTCCTAATAAGAGAAAACTGGGATCCGCAACAAAAAAGACTGCTCAACGAACATTATACAAAGAAAGAAAACTGCGTGGTAAGGGTAGATGTCGCAATTTATGGGCTTAAAGAATTAGCAAAACTATTTTACCACCATATTATCTCAAACTTAATAAAATATGGATATGAACAGTCTCCTCTAGACAAAAATGCCTTCTACTCTGAGACGGGAAAAAATTTTAGGAATTTATGTGGATGACTGTTATATCATTGGCAACGAAAGACACATCATGAATAAGCTAAGAAAAGACTATGAAGTAGTAACTACTTATTGCGTTGAAAAGATTTTAGGCGTTGGAACTGAACAGAAAAATGGGAGTATCTCCATCAATCAAAAAGATCTAACCTTAAAATTGTGCGAAACCTAGGGAGTCAATGCTGATAATAAAGATACCCCTGCACAATTCCATTAAACTGGAACCTCCTTCAACAAACTGCACAAATAAAGAATATGCTAGCCTAATTGGAAGCCTACGATACATAACAGATAACACACGTCCGGATATATCATTTTCAACTAGACGATTAGGCATGTTTCTATATATTAACGACGCATCAAATCTCAAATCAGCTCGACGTGCATTCGCCTACCTGTGCAACCCAAAGACAACCCTTAAGAAATAAGATACTATTCGAACTCTTCATGGGCTGATACCTACGATAAACGTACTACTATTATAACAGTTTCATGGAAATCTAATGCCCACAACTGCAAAACACACGTCGACGTGCGAATCTGAATACTTAGTCGTCACCTTAGTTCAGTGGTAAAGAGCATTGTCGCGCAATCTCAAGGCCTCGGGTCTGAATCCCGTCTGTGACAACTCACATTTTCCTGGTCTGGTGGTAAAAGTGTACAACTTCCCTACAAACAAAAATTCTTGATAGATACTGACAAAACAAAAGAAAAGGAAGAGAAGCCAGTAAGACTGACTATATTTTTCGGGAGTTTCTTACATATTTGCAGTTTTTTTTTAAATTTTTTTTTTCAAAATGAGGGTTGGAATATTCGAATTTTCCTTAATTTTTTGAGGGTTCAAAGCAGCAGCGCTGCTCTTTACTTAGAGTCTGAGCGGGCTGCGCTCGACTTACCAGGCATTCCGAAAAAATCAATGAATCAAAGTGAAAAAGACTGTTGCACGCCAAAATAAAATATGTCATTCTATCTTTTTCCCATTAGCCCTGTCATTGACCAGCATTAATATTAAGAAAGTTACAGTATATCTTGAGTTTATTATTTGAATTCTTGTAATCTTTTCCTAGATATATTTCGTCTTTCTTAGTAGTTGCAGGTCTAGTGTTGCTAACAGGCTTTTTATATTATATTGTTGAACTAGGGGAAAAAAATATATTTACACAGCAAAAATTACTACTTTTTTTAAAGGATGGGCGCCTCAATATTAAAATTCAAGGTTTGGATTTTATATATTACAAAATCTACGACCTAGTTAAATAAACTATATATTTAGGTAAATTAAATCAGTATAACTTTTTACTGTCGGAGGCTTCAATTTTGCTAATATGTGTATGTTTTGGTTCCAAAGAGGGTATAAAGCCTTTGGTAACAATTATTAAACTTTACCGGGTTAAGTTTTTTATATTGAAGTTTATATAGTATTTTTTGGAAATTTAGGTACATTACTTAAAGTTTAAAGAATTAACTCCAGGCTCCTTTCGTAATTAAATTATTAAATTTTGTGGCGAAAAAGGTAACTACTTTAAGAAAACTGTAGGCACTCTTTACTCTACTTTTCAAATATATTTTTAATTTTTATAATTTTTACACTGGCTCTTATTATTTAACATCTATTATTAGGGCACACAAGCGCCGTTATTCCTCCTGGCTATTTCTCATTATGAACTCAAGAGTTTAGATTCAGGCTATTTTTCTAATACCTTGCTATATCTTATATGTATGTAAGTATATTAATGGGCAATTATATTCATATAAAGGAGATGAATTAAAAAGGAATTGTTTACTTTAGGAAGCTTAAAAGTTTACTTGATCTTTACTTTAATATTTTTTTTGTAAAATCTTTCACAGATTTTTCTTGGAAGTTCTCGGGGAAACTCTTGGGTGCTGGTTAACCGCCTTAATCTAAGCACCAGTACTATTTTTGAACACTTTACTGAAGTTAACGTGGATGGTATAACCTTATAATAATTTTTTATTAAATAGCTTTTTCTTTAAAATAGAGTAAAATAATGACATAACTTAAGTATATGGCTTCTTTTTTTTATAGTAATAATACTCAACTTTTTAATTTTTGTAAAAATTTTAATTCATTTGGTCGCTTTTCTTATAAGTTTATTTAGAAAAACTTTGTCTATTAAATTTGCAGAAACAGCGAGCTTTACTATACCAAATCATTTTATATATGAGAAGAACGTTTTGAAAAATTTAAAACTGTACTCTAATGAAAAACTTTCCAGAGACGTTAGCTGGCTTCTTAATAAGCGCTGCAGGTAGATCTTCTGTCCAATGAGCACTGCTCACCGTTAAAAAGTACTTCTAAGCACGACTGTGCAGCCCAAACACTCGGTCAGCCCTTTCGATCACTTCAATCTGGTTGCCGTACCAGTGGCAGTTATCGCTGGCTCTCGCCCGGCTTATTTGCTGCGTTGCCTTTACCACCTAGTCCAGCTTCCATTAGACGTTCTGCTCTTCTCTTTGCGATTTAAGTTGTCTTTCACTTGATGTTTATAAAGAATATTATCCTTTCTAATGTTTTTGTTTTGGCGGACGGCTTCGATCATGAATCCTTACTCATATCGGTCATTTTTGGTAAGTCTAAAATTATTATTATTATTATTATTATTATTATTATTATTATTATTATTATTATTATTATTATTATTATTATTACTGTAAGGGGTTAAAGTTGTTTTTTTTTCCGAAAAGCTACTCTTCTTTTCGAGGGGAGCGCAACTTTATCGTAGCCGACAAAGTTGCTTATTACGAATTTTTACTGCTAGTTCCTTTCTTTTACATATCGCTTTCATTAAGATTGCAGTGCACTATCGACGTTCCTTTAATTATTTGTTCTCTAATAAAGCGGTCCACTCTTCAATAACACTGGAAGCGGTTTCAGTGGTTATCATGTAGATGCTCTATTCATAAATTTTTTTTTAATAAAAGGATTTAATAGTTGCTCTGACTTTTTGTCATATTTTTCACAACTTCTGCCTCTTCTTAAAGAAGTTTTACTATTTACAAGCTGATATACATAACTAGCTGATGGGTTTTGTTAGGATTCTCCTCTTTATTGCATATCTGCTTGGAACGATAACGCTTATGTACACACATCTTAAGACCCAGAAAAACTATACCGTACCAATTTTTTCCCCGGATTGGTATTACTGCGTTGATTAGAACGTCTTCTTCTCAACTCACATTTTACTGGTAGGGATGGCTGCTTACAAGGAGACTGTGGAACACTATAAAAAAAAGTTGGCCGCAGTGTTGCTGGGGCACGTCTTGGGATTTATGGCTTCGTTCCGTAATAAAGAAAGGCAACACCTATGCGGCCCCGCTTTTTGGTTTTAGTGTTAAAGTCTTTTGGTTGTACAAACCAGTAAAAAAAATTATTAAAAATGCAGGGGAAAATAGATTTCAAGATGACTAATATTTTTATGTTAATAGTTCTATATCATAATCACTTCTGTACAGACAAGGAGTGTATTATCCCCGACGTGCCACAGACTTTTCATTTCGGAAGGAAAGGTTTTCTTTACTTCTAAATAAGTTTGAGCGGGTTTTAAAGTAACATGCGGATAGGCTCTTCTTTTCCTCCTGTTTTCAAGTAAAAATCTGATAGTTTATCTCTTGTAGGGAAACATGTGCTTCAGGGGCAAATGTGGATAACGACTATTTCTACGCTATTTACTTCCGAACGCACGCGTTAAATACCCTTACCAACGTAAAATTAAGTAATATTCATCGTCCTGCTCGCTTTAAGTCCTTGTACCGATACCAATATTCACTGTTATGATTGATATTTGAAAAGGATCTGTACGAGCACGACTCCACGTTTCTCAAGAAGCGCCGTTCATATCAATCGAGCAGAATGCCCTTGCTTAATTGGCTATGACGAATATGTGCCGAACACGACACCTATTCCTTATTCTTCTTTCATAAACTTGACGTATTATCCTTCTTAAGGGCAAAAGTATGTAATATGGTACTCCCAAAGGTCAGATAAAGGAGCGATAGATACAGGATATTTGAAAGAACTACTGGAATGTTGGGGCATGTGGGACTTAGGTTATAATGATTTTAATCAATAGACTTCAAGTTTTTTAAAAAATTAGAGAAGTTCACATTGATTTTCATGAATTGCTATAGACAAAGAATTTATGAAAATGTAAAAGTAACAATTGTTTACAAAAAGTTTTTTCTAATGTCCGCGGCTTGCATCATGGGATCCTCACTTTTCACATTAAAGGCAACTTAATAATGGTCATCTTCCACTCATTTATATTATATAATATAGAGAGCAATGATAATGTACAGTAATGAAATTTTAAATATATGTCTTTATTTTTGTCCTAAAGGTCATTGGGGATCACACCTCCTATGCTAGAACGCACATGCCGTCCGGTGTCATTTCTGTTCGTCCTAAACCACGAGGACGGCCGTTTGATTCTAAGCTCTTAGAAAAGTTAAACGAGGACTCTTGTTAATAAAAAGATATCTATTTAATAAGGATGCAAGCGCTACATGCATTGATTACTTGAGAAAAAGTACAACAAACGGTCGCAAACAGTTCTCTTTAGTACCTTTCTAAGCTGAAATATTTGAAACGTATAATGAAGGTGTTAATAGTTTAGTCAATGCGATTTGGGTCACTTGCTTTTCGTCTCCAAGAAAATGTATTGTTTACGCGCCTCGCCCTACGCTCAAATCGTTCTACTTTGGTAGAACAAGCTAATAAGCGTTTCAAGTGTTTTTTAGTTTTGTTCTACTAAAGTAGAACTTTTACACGTTAATGAATAGAATTAATTTTCAGTGGATAAAACCATCTCCTTGGGGGCCCACGTGTGTATATAAACTGGTAAATAATACCATTCTTTAGAGTACTGATACAAAGACACTGTGTTTCAATGCCAACGTACTAGCACTCCTCAACACTCGCCTTGATTCTTCACTTTTCATGTTTCAAAGTTGGTAGACTAGAAAATTCTAGTAATAATTTAGAAAATAAATACTCACTTGTAGGCACAGAATTCTTCACTTAATTGTCCGGCACAACAACTAACACAGAATTGGTCTGACTCCCCCTCGAACGACAGCTTTAGTTTATATTTGTAATCCGTGCTGTTGCTTTATTCAATCAAATCTAGCAAAGTTAGGGTTACTTTATAGTTTGAATTTACATTCCTCAAAAAAAATTGGAGTTTTAAGTTACTGTCTATAGCTAATTTAAGAAGACTCACGAGAGCACTGTTTGAATTCTTTCACCTTTAAAAACGGAGATCTTTGATCTTAAAGAATGGCAGTTTTCAGAGCATTGCGAAACGTCTCTGAACAAGTTTAACCGTCACTTTGCCGAAATATTCGCAGACGTAGATCTCTCCTACTTTTTTTTCTTACAGTTTAAAGTCTCCCTGCGGCTGTTACTATTACGTTGAGGCATAACACACTAGTTTCCATGTGTAAAAAGTATTTTCTAAAACTACTCTTTACCAACCAATGTTGGCAGAAATTAAGTAGTAAATTATAACTAAAATCGAAAAGTAGTTGAACCTACGATAATAGGTGGTATTAATTAAAATAAAAGACGCTGCGTTTAACTAATACCAGTGAAATGAACATAATCCAATAATATATTGCAATAAACAATATATAAACAAAATATATTTTGTGAAAACAAAACATCTAAATTGGCTGGCTAACAAAGTCTAGCCCCTGCGGCCTGTTTCCCTTTCTCTGCGCCTTCTTTTTCGTTCTTGTTTTTAATAACCATACCACTCACTCTAATTTCATAGCATCCATAAAACAATAATTGTAAAAATCTTTAAATCTAATTTAGGTAATAATTTCGTTTTCATTACAAAACGTTGTTTAGCTCATTTGGTTTTTTCCTTACACTCTCTTCAGTTGGACTTGTCTCCTGGAGCCACGCAGGGACAAGACAGTCTTATACTGTTTAGCAGCTTGTATCGTTACTAATTTGATCCCGTAGGAGGATATTATGGGTACCTCCTTGGATACAAGCCTGATTACCACTTAGTCTAATACATTATGCTCTCCTACTAGAATCTAATTTTTTCTCTGAGAGTCGAAGGATGACTAGTCGATGCTTAAAATTATGGTTTAACCCACGGCTGTATATAAAATTGCTATTCATAACTTATAATTTCTAGCAGTCATACCATTTTTTCCCTGAAAGTCAGCTTTCTGTACATGCTCGGGTCATTAGTAAATATTAAATACTTAATTTTTTAGCTTAGAGTTTTCGAAATAGAGTCTAAAGTGAACAACGATGATATATATGCATTTATCTGAAAAAGTCAAACTGAAATTCATAAATCTCAAAACCTCAAAAAGCACAACCTTCTACGCAACCAAACACTTACTAAAGTGTTTATCCCTCTTTGGGGGCTGTTCGGTTAAGAGTTTGTTAGTTTCTTCTGTTTTCTATTTTCTCGCAGCTAAAACAATTGATGTTAATGAGATTTAGTAAGCCGTTAAAGTCGAGAATTGTAGTAAAAAAAAATTTACGTTGCTACACTGTTAGAGCAGATTCACAACCTCGCCCTATGATTATTTATACTAAAACAGGTTATCATTACTCGGCTTGCATTCTTTTAGCCGAAACTTACAACAGTATTTTATAAGATGAGGCCCCTTTGCTTGCCACTGCGTCATTTTTCCCAATTTTGAGCAGTTTTTGCAGAAAAGCCGAGATTATCGTATCATTAAGTAATATTTCTCTTGCGAACAGAATTCTTTCGTTATGGTCCCATCGTTTGAAGCCCGAGCAAAGAGTTGAAGTTGCTATTGTTATTTTTGATATTAAAGAATATCTCTAGCAACGATTATTTGTAAATTAGGATGATCTTGCTAAACTTGGTCAACTTGTTAGAACTCCATTTGCTAATATTATTAAGCTCCCAAACATAAGCGCTTCTATACCTCAACTTATTTCTTGTATCAAGGAATTACAAAAAAGGGGTTCTCTATTTTTTTATTTTAATAATAGTTGAACTTTGTATACATATTAAGATTGACCAACACTACCACCAGGATATTATATTCCTGATTATCCAAGCTCCCCTTCGGATGAAAAAGAAACTACCATTCAGAAAACATATTCTAGAGTTTTAGGAAGCGCCGTAAATCCAGTACTTCGTGAAGGTCAAATTATACTTATCTAATTCTGTTGAAATTTTAAATATCTTAAACTTTTACTCTGAATATATTTACATGTTTCTTTATTGGTTTGTGCCCATTTAAAGTTACTTTTTAACTCTATGTATCACTTTAATAATTTTGCTTGCAATGGAATATTTTTGCGCTAGTTTTTTTAAAATTTCGTGACTAACGTTTCTTTTTACTAAAGTAAAGTTCGCATAGTAATAGAAATTTTATTACTAAATATTTGCAATAATCTATTTCATTCTTTAAAGTAATTAACTGAAAACCTTTTAATTCGGCATTGACTATTATCTGAAAGTAAAAGATTGTTAAGTGTTTTATAAGATTTTTCAGTCAAAGTATTGAATATTTGAAGTCCAATTTATTTAAAAGATCCTAAGAAAACCTTTACTTTATGGTCTCGTGTTATTATTTACTTTTTATTTTGCTTTTGCTGTTTTACAAATCTTACAAGTTACAATATAACTTTTTTACTCTTTTTTACAAAATATATATATTTATGTTGTACGCTTCAAACTTTATATAAAATTCAAAGATAGCCTTAAAGTTATAAAAGTTCCGAAACGTTACATATTAATACAGGGAACTCTCTTCGCTGGGCAGCTGCTCCTGTTAAGCAGTATGCCATGAAGCATCCAACGCGTCTTGGCGATTGGTCGCCTGACTCCAAAACCCACGTAGCACATATGACAAGTGGCGATTTTTTCGAAAATGAGGTTTTTACAGTTTTTTATGATATGAAGACTTTAATCCTAAAATAATTTAAGGTTTCTTATAAAACTTTTGCTATTTAATATAATAAAAGCATTCAAGTTTTAATTAGTGGGGGCATTACTTAACAAGCTTTGAGATATTTGTTATTAATCTCTTGCGTAGTAAAAAGTAAACTATAGCACAAACAAAGAGCGAGGGCCAGTAAAACTATTGTTTTGCGTGAGGCAACATATTTTTTAAAACTTCTTTAAAGTACTTTCTGTATTTCAAATCGCATTTTTACTGGTACTTCTATAAGATTCTCGATTGTTTCTCCCACTTATTATTTTTCGCTCATTTTATATAATTTTTTAATTATGTGTATTTAGTAGTTGTCTTTTTTCTGTTGGGGGTGGGGGGGGGTGCCCATGAATAAGCTTAAAAATAGTAAAGAACTAAAAATTATGAATTATAATATATCAGGATCAATAAGAAGAGTTTTTTGTAGAAGACCAATCAGATTTTAATTTTTTAAACCGTTTACTTTATGCATTCTAACGACGGGTTAGTATTTTATTTGCGGTGCGGTTCTTTTGAGAGCCAATAGGGTCACTAAAAACACAATGAATGACCGCGCAAAAATAGCAGAAAACTTAACGAAGCGATATGAGAACGGATAATTTTTTTTTGTTACTAAATTAATTATATTAAAAGTTTTTTTTAAATAAATTATTCTATAAAATTAATTATATTACTTTTGTGCCAATTTTTATATTAGATTTTTAAATCAGAAGTATACTAGCACTTATCACGGCAATAATTTTCATAATAAATTTACTACTTTTAATGATTATCAATAGTGGATGTTTATTTCATTAAATATTTGAGTAGAACAATTGTAATGAAATTACCGAAAGACGATTCGCTTAACTATACAACCATATTTTTTTAATAAAAATAAATTTACATTTTATGCGTTTTTTTTGCTGCCTGGCGGTAACTATTGTTAATAAGTATAAAAAATATAATAATTTATATTATACACATTTTAGTATTTTAAAATTTATGAAGGGATTAGTACTAGTACTAAAAATTAAATTAATTTATTATTTACTAATCAGATTTCGCATATAATGCAATACGACGATTTTGCGCGAATTGAATTTCGAGAGGAGAATGGTAATAAAGTAAAAGTGATGAAGGACGGAATAAAACTTTTAAAAGGTAAAGAAAAAAAGTTTTTGAGTTAATATAAAAGCTTCTCAACAAAAAAATTATATAGAAGTAAAAAGTTATAACTAATATGCATTTTAAAGAGAAAGAAGTTTTATTCTAATAAGTATAAGTTAAGTTGAATATAATATAAAATAAATTTTTTTTCTAAAAATTACAATTATGATGACAATAGTAATTTGTTGAGTAAAACATTAAAGAAATAACTCTAGGAATAGAATTAGTTAAACGCAGTAGAGTTATTGAGCGGAATTAACTTAATAATATAAATCATAATAAAGATGCAATGTACGTTGTAAACATACTGAAAATAACGTAGAATGATCTATAATGCGTGAAGTGTACAAAAAGTAAATAAAACTTTATATACTTTTTAAAATTTTTAACTGTTTAAGAAAATGTAATATTACTTACAATGGCCCGCCAAATAACGGCAATTACAATAGTACTCTGCTTAAAACAAGTAAAAAAAATGAACAAATAGAAAAAAAAGAAAAAGTAAAGAAAAAAGAGAGCTTATATCTAATAGAGAAAAGTTTTATTCAATAAAATCATTACTATAAAACAAAAATGAAAGATTATGGCTTTATAGTTTCAATGATGTTGGGAGCCGTTTATTGTTAAGTTTTTTTTTAAAGTATTACATAATTGAAATTATGTAGTCGTTGAACTTTTTCACTTTTATTAATGGAAGACTCCTTGAAACTGTTGAAAAGTTTTTTAGCTTTGTAGTTTTCTCTGCTTTTTACTTTCCAGTATTCGTTTAGAGCAGACCAGTAGCTATAGAAAAAAAAAACTATTTTGTGCGTTTCTTTATTTTATATTTGTTACTTGTAGTATATTTACTTTATTACTTTTGTAATGCTTTTATAAAAAATCCTTGTGTATTTATATATCATTATTGTTGTTTTAGGGGAGGTTATTGATAGCACCTTTATGAGTCGAAGTAAACTTGAAAGTTTCTTGGACAAAACGCTGGAAGACGCAAGAAAAAATAATCTTCTTGTAGTCCACTTTTTTATATTTTTTATAACATTGAATAACGAGAAGTTTCTTTTTTTTTGTTCATTTTTTCTTATATATAATGCTCCTCTCTTTAAATTTTTATTGTGGAATAGGAGAGTTGTCCCCCTTTTATTCACTTTTTTATTTCGTTGAAACAGTTTTATTGGTTGGGAGTTAATGTTTTGTTTATAGTTTTTAATTGGTTGGTGTACTATACAAAAGGTTATTATTTATTATTATTTCTTTATTATTTCTCAATGTAAAATATACTTGCTGCTCTGAAAACTTTTAAGCGAATCGTACATTCTTATTAGCGCCCCCACTCTTCCTTTCGTAGTAACCCTCAAATTTAGGGCTGGTCCTTCTTAGTAAAAATAGAATTTTATAACCAATGAAAAGCGGGAGTCGGCAGTAGCAAGGAAGGCTCCCCGAGCCCGTCTGGCTACGACAATGCTTTTAACTTTTACTTTTTCTTGTATTGTGGCTGTATAAGTTTATAAGAGTTACAAGTATTACATTTCTGTGGCTACACTTTTTCCCTTATATTTAAGGTAATTGAAAGCACTTCTCAGTATACCTCAAGCACTTTTACGTATTTTTATTAATTGTTATAAAGTTTTCTGTGCATTTGAAAGCTACAATGATGAAAGTTTCCGACCCGAAAATTTTCGGCGCTGTCGTTCTTGCTTACTTTAAGCCGCTCTTTGCCAAGCACGCGGCTTTGTTTGACCAACTTGGCGTGGATATAACTAATGGGTTTGACGATGTCATTCAAAAGGCACCTGTTTGCTACGAAATTGGGCTATTTACTTTCTCATTACACGTTCCTCTCATATATAGATACAAGCATTGCCACTAGAGCAACGAGCAGAGATCGAACGAGACATCGAGGCGTGCTATGCCCGTGGCCCCCCCCTGGCTGTTGTACGAGAGAACAGGACTAACTTGCATGTGCCCAGCGATGTCATCGTGGACGCCTCCATGCCCGCTGTCATCCGTGATTCTGGAAAAATGTGGAATAGTAGCGGCCAATTACAGGACACCGTGTGCGTCATACCGGATCGTTGTTATGCACTCCAATACCAGAGTTGCATCGACTTCATGAAGAATAATGGCAGGATGGATGCTGGTATAGCCAATGCTACAGGCTATGGGACGCAATGCTGGCTTCCTTATGTGTATGGTTGCCAACAGGCACGATGGGCCACACGTCGAACATCGGCCTCATGGCTCAGAAGGCCGAGGAGTACGGGTCCCATGACAAGACCTTCGAGGCGCCTTCTAGTGGTGAATTTTGCGTGGTTGACTCAAAGGGCGCCGTTCTCCTCAGACACGCGGTTGAGCGGGGCGATTTATGGCGGATGTGCCAAACTAAAGGTAATTTTTTTAGTGTTTATACCTTTACGCATACTTCGATTGACCTTCCATCCACCTGGAAGAACTTCCCATTAGAGATTGGGTCCAACTAGCTGTCACTCAATCCAGAGCCACAAACACACCTGCCATTTTTTGGCTCGATGAGCATAGAGCACACGATCGCAACCTAATTGGACTAGTCAAGCAGTACTTAAAGGAACACAATATCAAGGGATTGGCCATATCTATCATGCCGCCCCACGCTGCTATGGTGGAGACCCTCAAACGCGTATTCCATAGCATTATGTTATTTTCATGGACATTATTATACTAACGGCAACCACTAGGCTAAAGCAGGAAAAGATACCATTACGGTCACTGGAAATGTTCTTCGCGATTACAATACGGATTTATTTCCTATACTCGAGCTGGGAACCAGCGCTAAAATGCTTTCTGTCGTTCCTTTGCTAGCGGGTTGCCTCAACTTTTCTTTCTTTCCTTGATAACATTATTTTTATTTTGTTTTCTGTTTGCAAGGTGGAAAACTCTATGAAACAGGCGCCGGTGGCTCTGCGCCAAAGCACGTGGAACAATTTCTAAAGGAGGGTCACCTTCGCTGGGATTCATTGGGAGAATACTTAGCGGTGGCGGCCTCTTTGCAAGACTTGGGCAAGAAGTTTGGTAGTAGCAAGGCAGCAGTTCTGGGGGGCGCACTAAACGAGGCCGTCTCACAACTGCTGGACAACCAAAAACTGCCCTCTCGGAAAGTCCATGAGCTCGACAATAGAGGGTCCACGTTTTACCTCACGTGGTACTGGGCCCGTTCTCTAGCTACGCGCAATGCTTCCTTCAACACGCTTGCAAGTCAGCTGGAGGCCAATGCAGAGCAGATTTTAAAAGAGCTGAATGACTGTCAAGGGCGGCCAGTGGACTTGGGAGGGTACTACTTCCCCCACCCTCGGAATGTTGCAGAGGCAATGAGGCCAAGCGAGTTGTTTAATAGCATTATTGATCAATAAAGAGGCACACCAAAGCTTTACAAAAATCTAGTAGTTCTGACACCATTTAAACTTTTTAGACCCCATACACGCAAGGAAAAAGGGTTTTGTTGTTTTAAAATAAGTTTAATGGCCGAAGGGATTAAGTATTAAATTGGACTGACTTCTTTTTCGTCATCCAGGCGTATTTAAGTGCATAATTCTTCTTAAATTTTTAATATACACCATAATCATTAGAGTGAAGCTAACTTTCTATTAGGTGCTCATTAAATTATACTTCCTACTGCTGTCTAAAAGATTCCTTAAAATTTATTGACGCTGTTTTTAATCCATGTTGCACGTTTTAGATTTTTTTTTAAATCTTAAGCGTGAGCATACGCGTAATTAAAATTTTTTATATAATTTTTTTCTAAATACTTTAGTGGCCTCTCATGCTTCTTAACTTCACATTAAATACAAGTGTAACAATATATACCAATTAGAGAAAAGAGTTTATGATAAAGTCATCTTGATAGGTATAAAAATCACCGGATATAGTTAATGATGCCAATAGTTATATTTAAACCAAAGATATTTGTACATGATGATAGAATGGGGTATGAAAAGTCTATGATGGCTAATATTTTGGTAATATTTCTTAATAATGTACGCAGCAATTCCACGTAGCAAGTACGACACTATTTTCGGTAAGAGGGTGGTTGCTTCGCACGCCAGAGCCATCTTTTGCACTATACAGAGGGCCGTGGGAATAACCAAACATTGCTGCTCGACTAGCTTGGCAGCACTCAAGTAATGGTATTTTCATCCCGTTGCTTGCTGTCTTCTTTTGGGTTATTGATATGAACTACTTAATAGTGGGATCATAGGCTTATCATGGAAAATAACTATGTAAATAAAAGTTATACTTATAAGGAGTAACGTTTGTTATTCGATTGAAACGTACTTTTAAGAATAATATGCACTTCAGCTTACAGTCCGAGTTCAACTTGCAAAACCAAAACTTAAAAAAAAGAAATAACGTTGTATAAGTGCAAGTACAATTTCAATATATAATAAGTAACTGAGAAAAAGAAATTAACCTAAACAGAAAAATAATAAGTACAATAACTACCCGACTTAATCTTTAAGTAGAAAAAGGTTCAAAGATTTCTAAAAATGAATTCTCACGGAGGCAGGTTAATTTTAAAAATTTTCAGGTCATTTTTAAGTATTATATAAGTAATATGAAATCTTTAAAGAAACCTTAATTTCTTTAAGTTAATTATAAATATACTCTCTTCTGATTTTATATATAGAAACACCATCCAAACTTTAATAAAACATCATATTACCTGTCTGCATAAACTAAAATTTTTTAAAACTACATTGTTTTTAAATAAATCTTGATATCATATGTTTTTTCAATCTAAAATATAAAGTAGGCAAGGCAACCTTATCCCCTTTTTTTTTTTAATATTACTTTTATATTTTAATAAAATAGTCAAAAAATTATAAAAGATATAACTCTAGCCATGAATCAGGCAAATTTGAAAGAGAGCAGATAATAAGCAGCAAATATTATTTTGCAACGCGTTCATAAAGGCGTGCTCTCAATAGACTAAATTTTTGTGTCCTGTATGCAATTTTATTTTTTTTGTGCGCAACATTTATTCATTTTGGCAGTATAATTATTTAATAATTTTTTTTTAGGTTAATTTCTATAAAAATAATAAGATTTTTTGTTTAATTACAAAAATTATTTTATTTTTATTTTATCTTGTTAACTTTTGTGGTTTGAACAAAATAGTAACTTTACATTATTGAAAACTTAAAAGTTTTTGTTTTGTTTTTTACTTGAATTATGTGCTTGAAAACTTTAGAAGCTTTAGAATATAGCGGCTTACAAGAGAGGCATCCCACTGTTATACTTTCCCTAGAGAAAAGTCTTCCGGTTCCACTAACCGGAGCTTTTGTTGCTACTATCTGTAATCATAAACAAACGTCTAAAATTATTAGGTTAGTTTTCTATATATATTATTAAAAAAATATTGTAAAGTGATTATAGGATCCTTTCTGAAAAGTTTCCACTCAAAACTCTGTCTCACCTTCGAAGAATTAAAAAGGATGTTACGGAGGATGGGTAATTTTAGTTATTGCAAGGAAAATTAAACATTTATAAAACCTTATAATATTTCATATATTGGAAAACTGTTAAAAGTTTAGTACATCTTTAAATTTACGTAAGACGTGAAAGTTCTTACATTGTGCTTCATTATTACAAATTGAACTGTTTATAACTTTATAATTTAAAATTACAGATTTCTTATTTTTTATTATTTAGGTGGTCTGTTAAATATTTTATTACTCTTATTTTTAAATCGTTATTTTATTTAATATTAAACTTGTAACTTTACAAAATTTATCATTTAATGATTATACATATATACAACTAGTCGACCTGAACTTACTGTTCTTATAAGTGGATCTGATAATGGAACAGAAGTGGAAGAAAAAATTCGCTTGCTTTTGAAGGAAGATAATATGGATACCTCAATTTCAAATTTTAGAAAGTTTTACTCTGTTAATTTCAAAATTTATTTCATTGTATATTAAATAATGTCTACGTACAAAGTTTTTTGTAATAACTCTAGTTAAAGTTATCAAGAATATATAATATCATGCATATTTTTTATTTTTTTACTGTTAATCTAACTTATGACTTGTTTTAATATAATTTATATATTATAACTTCTTTTTACTATTGTATTATTAAATATCCTAGTATTACTTTCTTATTTAATTTCTTATTTATTTTTTTGAACAATCGTAAGTATTATGCTTTAAAAAAAAGTTGCTTATGCAATTTTTAATAACTAGTTAGTGTAAAGAATTTTTTAATTTTAACGTTAAATTATCTTTTTAGTACTGAAAAAAAACTAAACATGGCAAACATGTGATAAATAGAAGTAACAATATAATTAAAAATATACTTGAAATTTATTTATTATTGAAAAGCTTTGAATAAAGAAATCTATAAGTTATGTTTTTAAATTTAATTTAGTTACAATATAATATTTTATGCGAATTTAGTAAACAACTTTTATGAGTCTTTAAAACTGTAAATAAACTTTTTTGTATATTTATAGTCGACGCTGTTTATTTTCTGCTCAAGTATTGTATTATTTGTTTTGGGCGTCGATGAAAAAGTTTTTAAAGTTATAATTAAAAGTATATTTTAATATATTTTTAGCATTTTTATAGAATTTCTAAATTTACTACAAAACTGATTTTTAATGATTAAAACATTCTAGTATTTTTTCATACTTATTGGTATTTACCTTTTAGTAATCTTTTAAAATGTATTAAAATAAAAAAGTGTTTTATAGTTTTTTTTATAACAAGTTTATTTGTGCAATTACCGTACCTTTATAATTTTTTTTTAAGAATTTCATTTATTATAAACTTATTTAGAACAATTTTTTGTCAATCTATTAATATTTTTTTTTAATAACCATAAATAAATTTTATATTTTTATTATATTAGCTGCTAAATCACTTTAAAAAATGTATAATTTTACTTAATTTTGAAGCTTTTTATTGTTATTTATGAACGTTATAGTCGTTTTTCCCTTATATTTTCAAATTAAATCTTATTTCCAACGAGATTTTTTTTTTTAGATAAAAAGAAGTAACACTTATACTTTTTTGTTTAGTTATTTTTTTTAGAAGTTTATAATTTTTATATAAGTTTTTCTACTTTTTCTTTGGTTTACATTAATAAAACATTTTAATTAGCTATTATTTCCAAAGTGTGGGTTAGTTTTTTTCTTCTACTAAGGTAGAACTATATTAGCAAATTGCATAACCTTCGTTACAGTAAAGTCAGTGGTTCACTTCCACCCATAAGCGTGACTGCTTAGGGGCACGGGTATTGCCCTTATGGTTCAGAAACCATTACTTGTGTCTCCAGTGCAGTACTGTGGCGTCCACGCTCTGTCCGTCTACTGCCACGTATACCCGTAGACATGTGCCATCCTTCTAGCTAAGAGCACTAGTCCGGCGCTGCGCTGGGTTGGTGTAGACTATGCTAGAGTATCCTTCTCTTCATTGAGCAGAAAATTTAGTTTTTATTATTATTTATTATTTTTATTTACTTTTTTAGAGTTTTAGTCTCGGCTACTCCGCCGCTCACTAGAATTCAGTTTGAGCTGATCAAAGACGTCTGGCCCACTCATTTCCTTGAAGACATAAAGTTATTATCGTTATTGAGTTTTCTGATAGCTTTATATTGTATATCAATATAGTGTTTGAACTTTTTACTTTTGTTAGTTTTTTTTATATTTATTTTTGTATATATAAGTAAATATTTTTTTATGCTTTATAATAAGTAGTTTGTAACGGAGCTTTCGTTTAAGAGTTTTATTAAAAAGATTTATATTAATTAAATTTTAAGATGTGATTGAATGGCTTAATAGAAGCTGTAATATTATTGGATACAGACACCTTTTTAATATTAGAAAGCGTTATCACGTGTATCATAACACTTTTTCCTGTTATTATTAGCACCAAGCCATCCATTAGCGTCCGTGCGCCGGTCGTATACTACAGGACTTATGTTAGTCAATAATAGTGCACTGTTATATCGTTTTAGGACGTAGTAACGACCAATCCTTTGGCAGCAAACAACTTTCCTTGGACGGGATTGGTCCTTAATCATTTCTAGCAAACATTTTGACCACTCCGGGTCTTGAAGTGGATTCTTTATTAATATATAATATTTTAGTAGTTTCTAATATTTTACAGTTTTTACTTCAGTGCTTTTCATTATATGACTTAAAAAAACTTAGTCAATTTCTTCTTTTCTAGAGAAACGAGAGAACTTGCGAAATTCTATTTTTCGGGTGAAGACATAGTAATGCTGGAAGGCCACATGCGCTCAGCCCTTGCCTTTGCTCGGGACGCACATTCCTCCAATCATTGGCCTACTGGGTGCGTAATAATTGATCCTATCTCCAATCAAATTGTTTCGAAGGGTTGTGATTCGCCCGCGCATCCTCTAAAACATGCTGTTATGGGAGCTCTTGATTCGCTGGCGGAGTCCCACTGCACCAATAGTGCAGAAGCATATATTGCCACGGGTCTGGATGTTTATGTTACGCGCGAGCCCTGTGTCATGTATATGAAATATTTTTATTGCTTTTTTGTTCAGTATTTTGTACTATTCATTACGCTTAATAGTATAAGTAGTGATGAATAACTTTTTTCTGCTACCTTTATTATTCTATAGAGCAGAAAAAAAATATATTTCATTAAATGATCATTTGTTATATTAAGGAATCTACTTTAAAGCATATCACCTTACACCTTCCGTACTATACAAAACCAGCTTCTTGTTTAGTAATGTCTCGTATAAATAGTGGCTTCTAGAAGAGTTTTCGGAGGTTTTTAGTTATTCGCATGTTTTTTAAATGGTAATAGACAAGTAATAATGGAAAGCGATACAGCTTTTCTTAGTGCATCACTACTCAATCGATTAGCTAAGCGATAGTAGTATTTTCCGATGAAATTAAACGGAATTCATCTCGAGGCGTGTTCATATACATATGAGACAACTAAAAGTGTTTATTATATGCAGTGCCACCTCAGAGTTGTAGTGCGGCGATATCCAGCTTAGGTTCCTCTCGCATAGCTTTGTTAAAAGGGTTTTTTTTCCTTATTGCTGTAGAAGTTAAAAATACTTATATCTAATGCAAATTATATAATAATAATGTAATAAACAATAAGTACTTGTAGCAATAGTTATTAACAGTAATATTTTACTACCAGGTGCGCAATGGCGTTACTTCATTCGCGGGTCCGGCGAGTTTTCTTTGGCCTCCGAACTGCAAATGGCGGATTTTCTTCCCGTTTGCGATTACACCAACAACCTAAGCTGAATCATCGTTTTTCGGTGTACGAAAAATTGTTATATAATGACTGCTTCCGATATCATGAAGGCAGTAAATGATTTACAAAGAGATGGTAATAGTGGAATTTTTTATCTGTAGTACGAGCGAAATAAAACTGTACTTTTTAAAGTACTTGAAAAAGAATTGATTAGGCAGTTTTTGGTGAAGAGATACTTCATTTAAGTAAATTTTTACTGAGCTTTAATGTGTTTAAAATATACAGCTGGCCACTGGTTGCCTTATCTATCAGGTGACCTACTTTATTTACTAGTGCTGGTGCCCTAGGGGTGATTTTTCATAATAAAACCTCAATGAAAACGCTTTTTATTAGTACTTAATTATTTTCTGGTGTTCCCTATACTCTAACCTATTGACGATCTCTATATTCACAGGTTTCAGCTCTGCAAATTTGAACTAACTCATTCAAGTCTTTTTCTTGAGGCTGCCTTTTTAAATAAAGCAACAACAGCACATAACGTATTACCACCCCTATAACAATTTGTGGACCAGTTATATTACGTTTATTAAAACGTCATTAAGCTGTCTTAAGTAATATTAACACATGTCGTTATGTACATTTTAATAAAATTGGCTTTAGCGGTTACACTGCGGATAAATGCGCGTCTAGTTAAAAGTTAGATTTGAAGATTGCTTGTACATATCATGTGAAAGCAAATGACATTATTTTAAACATGTTTACAGGCGCGTGCGTGCAAGCACTGTATAAAATCTTAAATAATGTACTTGCTTAAAAGATTAAAAAATTTTGGGTATAGCTGCGAAGTAATTTAACATAGAGTTCTACTCCTACCCTTTTTCTATCACATAATTAAGGCGCTATAGTTAAATATTAAGAGTTACGCGAAGTGAGGGGCTTAGAGTCACACAAAGGAAAAATTTAAGTTGATACCACAATAATTTTTACTTTGTACTATCACCCGTAATATCTCAAAACCATGGTTATTAATTTATTAAAAAATGGTATTTACTGGCGCCCAATCGACTCAATAAGTTCGAATTTTCATGTCCTTCACAAGGTGATAACGTGCAAATTAGGATTAAGTTTGTATTAAAGTAATTATATTTATATTTAATTCTAGCCCTAACCCCTACTATAAAAAGAACAGGTATTTAAAGTGCAATACACCATGGCCTGGATGTAAGGTATCGTTTCTTACAAATTACGTCATCCCGTCATGTTTGACCAGATACTACAACAAATACAAGCGTAGCTTGTACAATAGAAATATTTGCTTTTAGCACAAACTAAAGGGTATAGACGTTGAGCTGCCGCTTTGATCTTTGCCACATAGTTTACGTGTGGTCGCCATTGTCAGTTAATTGTCGATGGTGGCCCCCAATTATATCGTCCGGCAAGACTCTGAGGAATGTCCTCGAGATATAGTTTGCGACGCCCACCTCAAGCAGGGTGGGGGATAGTTGAACTTAAGTTTGAAAGAACTCAACTGCCGTGGCAAAGATAAGTTTTGAAATCGGCGATATCTAGCACGTTCAATGTGCCTGTCTTCTCCATATGCGTTGGCTACTGAAGCCCTACCTCGCGCAGGAGCAATACACTCTCATTGAAGCAAGTTTTCGAGGATTCGACCGTTTATGTTTTCGACCGGCTGTTCCCAGCGGGATACTTGCAATAAGGGTTTACGTAAAGCTGACGAGGGGTTTATAAAGAGGCGTCAAGATCTGAGGTTTTTAGTGGCTTGCTGGGAAATATTTATTAGCTATAATTACCCATACGGGCTCCTGATAAGCCGAGCAGAGAAAATCCTAACTGTAAAAAATGCATTACAGAGAGCTGGCAGATATATTGCATTGTGCTAATTGTTACCTCTGCCCAAAATAGCTTTGAAGCGGCCTCTATGGTACGTTAAGAAGTTGCAAAGTTAACAAAACTCTGGTATAAAATACGTCTCGCTATAACTTACAAGTCTATTCTTTCGCGCTGCATTAACTTCTGCAACTTATGTTTCCTGCGTAGGAGGTCATATGAAAAGCCAATGATGGTGGTGCGTGGTGGTCTATAAAATATTGCAATGTATTCCAGATCATTGACTGTCTCAAGTACTTTCGACAAGTTTGTTGTTAATATAGCAAGCTGTTGCCGTAGTGTTCATTGCTGCCGCTGTTATTATGGTTAGTTTTCAGAGAAGTCGCCTTTGTGGCGAATGTGCGGTGTACCAGATGGTCGGAGTTATGTAAGAAGAGGACAGAATGTAGTAGACCTTCGCGTATATTTGCAGACACAATAGTTGTCGTGTGCTTCACTGCAGTTTACACTTGTGGAAGGTTTGCTTCGTGCTTTTGTTCACTACCTAATAAAGTGGCCCTTGCTACGTTGAAAGCATCGGTGGACAGCTCAGTAAAACTTGCACTGTATATAGAAACATGGCAGTGATTGGCATTGTTTAGTAAGGGCGCTCTTTTGTAGCTTACTCCTCTCTAACCTGAAAATTGTATTAAGTCAGACAGTTTTTGTCAATCACCCCTTGGTAAAGGTTGCTTTGTGCGTGCATAATCGACAATGTTTTACGTGTGCATCCATCCCGAAATGCGTGTACAATTTTCCGATACCGCAATAATTCCGCGAAGGACAAAATTGTAACGCTGCATCACGTATTAGCGATGTGAAGAAGCGGTTTCTAATCTGCTGTTTTCATAATTACCTTAATTACGAACAAGTACTTTTGAACTTCAGAATTTCGACGTCGTTGACTTAAAGAAGTTTTACATAATGGAGCCACTTTTGTTATATAGAGAGTAGAGATGGGATTTATTATATCATGCTCTTATAGAAGATGCAGGGGTAAAAAGGTTTTTTAAATCTTTTTTTAATTGGCTGCGCAATTTTTGTTATCCTATCATTGGTGCCTTTCTACTTAGAGCGAACTTAGACAACCAAATTATAACAAAAGTTACAAAGCTCTCTTATATTTTTATTAATGTTCCTGTGAAGTTACCTGTCTCGATGCCAGTTTGAGTAAGTATATCATATGCTCTGTCAGTTCTGCAAGTCTCTATATAAAATCAATATATTAATAATTATATGAGGAGTAAAAAAGGTTTAAAGGTTATTATATAAAAAATAAATACTTGATAGTCTTCCAATAACAAAGGAATATCAGTCATCTGCAAATCTTCAATAGTAAATTCCTATTATGAAAACATTAACAAAATATTATAGCTATTATAGCATATTAATAATGAAATACTCGAAATTTTTGTATTGGTTTCTCGTAGTTGTCAAGAAGCGCACGTAGATGTTGTGTAAAAGATATTTCTTTTTTATTGTGGTTATTATTAATAGCAAGCGAATCAAACCCTTCGGTTAAATTAAGACCAATAAACGAATCTGCAGTCGTACTCGAGGCTGCTGACGCACTTCGGTAATATTATCTAGTAAAAAACACAAAAAACGGCTAGTCACGCTAGTCTACCTGGGCGGGTCCTGTTGTGAAGAAGCTCTATTTTTTAGAAGTTTTTGGTTTTCATTAATATTTCTTTTTTATGTAAAAAAGTAAAAAAACTTTTTAGTAATATAATTATGAAGGAAAATAAAAAAAAGCAGTGAAACCGTTCAAATTCTTCTTTGCTAATACTTAAATTTGTGTAACTCAACTTTTCAATGAAAGTTACGGCAGACAACTATTATTATTATTATTATTATTATTTTATTATTATTATTATTATTATTATTATTATTATTATTATTATTATTATTATTATTATTATTATTATTATATCTATATATATATACATACGGCCGAAGTAAAGTAATATAAATGCTCAGAATAAAACTTCCTTGAATTTCTAAATCGTTGAATATAACTTTAGTGCAAAAAAAATCAGCGCTTAGCAATAAATATAATAATAAATATTACAAAAGATTCGATTTTAATAGTTTCGGTTTTGTTTTTATTATAAAAAGTACAAGAAGAGGAAAAAAATCATCAGCAGAAACATTTTTGCGATGCTGCGTTAATACGTCTAAAGAATAATAAAAATAATAGAAAAATAATGGTAAAAACTTAAAGTTTATAAAAAATATATAAAAGTTTTAGTATCGAGATAAAAAATATAAATAATAATTCAGAATTATTTTTGTAGTAATTAAAAAGTATGAAAAACTATTTTAAAAATGTCTTACATGAATAACTATTTACATATATAAATTTTACTATTAAAAATCCTTTTTTTCTTATTTTTATTAAGTTTTTACTTGTATATACATATTATATTTTAAGCAATATTTATTTATTTTTCCTAACTATATAAGTAATATAAACATATAATAAATATATTAAAAAAAAAGTAAATGTTTATTCGATGTAACAAATATTCTAAAAAATATCACAAAAAAAATAAACAATAATTTTAAATAAATAATAAAATTTTATTTATTAATATAATTAAAATTTTTAAGAAATAGATAATAAACGCATTTATGCGTATTTTTAATATAAGCAATTGCTTATTTACTTGTTTTATTATAAAAAAATGTACAATTTTCTATTAAATAAAAAAATAGTATATAATAAACTCTTAAAAAAAAATTATAAATGCTTCTCGTTCTTGTATACTTTTTTATATATATAAAAAATATATTTACTTTTTATTTTTCATAAATTATTTTACTAACAATTTTTTTTATTATACTATTTATAAATATTTAATTACAAAACATATTCAGACTTTAAAAAAATTTAAAACTACTTTTTACATTTAATTGTATATTAAAATATATATTTTTAATATGAAGTAAATTTTTATTAGACTTTTTATATTTATAAGTTACAAGTTAATATTTTGCAGCAGTTTACGAGACAAATTAGCTTATCTTTTGGCGCCTTGAAGGAATCCATCGCCTCAAGTTCTGCTGGAAAAACTTTAATGATAATAATAGTAATAACAATAACATAACAAATAAAATATTATAATAAAAAATATTCATAAAAAATAAAAATATCCAACCAGAACGAGCGAACGGAATAAACGAGTTTTCAAGTACATTCGCCTCAATGTCCAAATGCTTCGCTTTGATAAAATTTAACTCCTGGAAGTATTAATAAGTGACATTATTAAAAATAATAATAAGAAGTAAACTTCTAGCCTCCGCTGGAAAGTAAAGTCTTCTGAAGCAGAAGCGCCCGAAAGTAATGTATAGGCCTGAAAAATAATGAAATTGAATGAAGTTGCTGATACTAGTAAAATAGGTTGCAGCAAAGTTACAGCAACAACCGGGTTGGTGGGTTATAATACATAATAGTGTAAACCAAAGGCTTTGTTGGGAGTAACTATAGCCAATGACAATAAAACAACTATTTAGGTATCACTAATAACATTGACAAGAATCAAGTAAATTTTTTATTAATAACTTTTTGAAAGTTATTATATAATTATACTTTTATTGTACTTGTTATAAACAATTTTTACGTTCCAGAAATTTTTTTAAAACACTTTTATATTAATAATAAATATTTTTAATAGAATATTAAATTATTTGATATAAAGTAGAGCTATTATTATTTTT